ACTACTTTAACATAATGTTGGAAACGATAATTCGAGCATCAGATTTAAACCGTACTGGCACAATATTCTACAAAAGTATAATGTTGCTTGCGTATTCCGACGACATTGATATCATTGGTCTGAACACCCGCGTCGTCAGTGCGGCATTTTCTAACTTACAAAAACAATCGCACAACACAAATGTGTGTGCACGAAGATCTCACAACACAAATGTGTGTGATCACTTTACTATAAAATTAAATTTTTGAATTGGTAAATTTTCGCACTATAATGTCTTCTATCCAAATCAGATTTATTTATGAGCGAATGGGCTAGTTTGTTAAATATGATTACTAAAAAGAAAGGTATGTGGCGACCATGCGGGAATTATCGTCGACTTAACGCGCAAACGTTACTACACCGATATCCCGCACATCCAAGACTTTGCACACACATTCAATAGCAAATCGATCTACTGTATTATAGACATCAAAAAAGAATATTTCAATACAACGATAGCTGCAGAGGACTGGAAAAACTCTGCAGCACCGTTCGGTCTTTATGAATTCAACATGACGACATTTTGTCTACGCAATGCGGCACAGACGTTCCAAAGTAATATAGATCATGTTCTTTCATATCTGGACTTCGTCGTCTGTTATATTAACGATATTTGCATCGCGTCCAGCAATGAGGAAGAACATTATCAGCACGTCGTCGCAATGCTTCAACGCCTCCAGCAGCACGGGTTAAGGGTCGACGTGAGCAAATATGTTTTTGCCAATAATTAAGCCTTACGGGAACCAGACAACAGAATAATAACAATTACGCACTAAACAGGCTACAAAGACTGGCGTGTGTATGTATAACGGGTGCCATGCGGACTTGTCCAACAGCATTCATAAAGGTCCTTCTAGAACACACATCCTTGCCGATATACATCAGATCCCAAGCGAAAAGGGCAATTCTACGAATGAAGAAAGGAAATATAACGGATAGCTGGCTCAATAGAAAGAAGTTCGAAAATCTTGCGAAGCAGCGTCCGGAACGTTCAATGCCATTGGACATAATGAATATTAAGTTCAGCTTTACTAAGCTTTTTAGAACTGAACTAAGCAACAAAAGAAGTTGGGAGGGCATCAATCAAACAAATCAGGTGTCGATTCTTTAGGTACCGGGACATACTGGCGTACGCGGAAACGAACACGCGGACAAACTAGCCAGAAAAGGAGCAGCCACACAGATGATAAAGTAGACAATAAAGTACAATTCGTCCTTCGAATATCACGATTTTTGTAGATAGGCCGCACTGAAAGCAATTGAATTTAAATTCCAAGATAGTATTAAAATGTCGCGATTCACTGATAGGCATCAAACATCATAAGGTCTGTCTTTGCTGGACATAGTACATTTCGAATACTTGGACATAGCAATATTGAAGGGAATGAACTAGCAGATGAGATGGCCAGAAGAGGTTCTGAACTGCATACTGGAGAGGCCGACCTCTCAATACATACACCGATATGTAAACTGTATAGGATAATAGAGGAAATCAATACAATGACTAACAATTTATAAACTAACCGCGAAGACTGTAAGGTCGCTAGAATTGTATGGCCTAAGTTGGACAAAAATAAAACGAAAAGTCATTGCGCCGATGCTCCAACGGTGGCGAGTTCCAACAAGTGGATTATGCAGGAGTTGCTAAGATGAAGAGGAGGTGAAATCTATCAACCACTTCCTGCGTCTCTGTCAAGGACTTCAAACAAGGCTACTTTAACTTCTTGGGGATCCTTATTTTACTGGCTTGGAAGAGATAACGAAAGCTAACTTATCGGATCTCCTCAACATCATCTGGAAAACCAAATGGTTTAACAAGGATAACAAAGGTTAGCAACTCGCAGCTCCTGGTAAAATTTTTTGAGGGCATCCCAATGGCCAATATATGTCTCCGAGTAGAAGTGCTGACAACTGTCAGCATGTGCCTTTCGAACATAACTTAACCTAGTGTGGGTTAAAATTTTCGCACATATGCTCATCATAAAAATGTATATATCTCGTACAAATCATCCGAGTAAATTGATCTCTTAAAATACACATTTTTAGTAAGTACATGATTTTCGCCATCCATCGAGAATCTTAGATGGCACCTGGGCGCCACAGGTAACCAGGTAACTACTACAAAATATGTATAGCGTAGCGATCCGAAACCTTGCATTTGTCAAGGGCGGAACCTAAACTAGGAGTGATAAATTGAATCGTTCTGTCTGCGTTACCCCAATATTGTAGAACTGTGACTAAAGATTCAGCTTCCATTTTGAGACAATTTCTTCATCGAATTTATTCCAATTAAAATTAATGGAATTTTTAGCCGCTCTTGCTTCGTTTGCTAACAGGATATTAACTACAGTCATACTCCTTGTACGACCATTTTCTCTTTGCTTACGAAAAAATTCTTGTTTTGACTACATTTTCAATTCTACTTAAATGTCTATATAAATTATTAAGTATAAATGTATTATTTTTATTTTTTATTTATGTTTCTTCCGTTTCTTGTAAACATTTGCGATTGCATTGTGCATGCCAGCTAAAAGGTATGAAATAGAAAACAGAGCACAGTCGCTCAACTAATTATTGTGTTTTGCGCATAATTTTTAACCGATTTTGCTCATCAGTATCTTATTAAAAAGATATTTTGAAAACAGCATACGATGGACCATATAAGGTTATAAGTCGGAGCTCTTGAAGATGTGATATTTCTGCGGACTACAACACGGTTAAGATATTTTACTTGTAACAAGACATAATATTGTATTGTGAAATTGAAATCGTGAATAAATAAATTAGTCGACAACCCGACATTAGTTTATAGGATTTGAATCGTTTAAGAATAAAAAGTTTTTTTCATCTCAAAATTTATATGTATATTAAATATTGGACTTTAAATATGGCGTCTGTTTACGACGTTTTCAAACAGCAGGCATAAAAAAAACTAATCTCTAAACGCCGATAATTGATACTAAGGTTATTAAATCTATATTAATATCTCAAGAACATGTAGTATAACTTGTACATAAACATTTATAAAAAAGAATTTTTAACCACAAAATATATTTTAATATTTTTACCAAAACTCCGATGATATTGTAAATTTCTGGATTTCGGTGGGAGATGCCATATACAATCCATGACCTTTGTGACTCAAACAAAAAACTTTGGATATTCTGAAAAAATTAGTTTTATATTAATAGAAAATGTTTAGAATACTTTTAATCTCACTCAGTTGCATCATCTTCAACGAAAACCTGTTGACCCCAAATTGCAAGCATTGGATCGACAATTCCTTGTTTCTTTTTTGTATGAAAACTATAAAAGACAAATTTGTTTGAATACGAATTAGATATAAGGAAATTTTTTTATTCATATATAAGATAAATTAAAATGTTGAATATTTATTTACATTTTCTGACTGAACTGTTGCATTGAATGGTTTAAACCAATAATAAGCTTTGTATGATAAACCTGAGGCCTGATCCACTATCACTCAATTGAATTAAGAGTAATGAAGTTTATGGTATCATATGCTAAGTTTCGCATAGCGTTTTTTAAAGTGTGAAACGCATTTGATTTGTATTGTTACTATATTTGTTGTAATTTATGCCCAATGGCTTAATAAGCAGTTAAATTAA